CGGAGTACTGTGGCGGGGAGGTCCTCGGCCCTCGACCACCACGATGGAATCTTAAAAAAGCAGATTGGAGTGAGTTTGAGTCTCAGCGAGAGATGGACTTTGGTTCACAGGCCGTGGACAGTGCAAGCTACTCGATCGAACACTTCACGTCCGCGCTTTTACGTGCAGCGAACACAAGCGTCCCAACGACATTTGGGGCTCCTCATCGCACCCCGGTGCCGTGGTGGACCGACGAGTGCCGAGCTGTTATCCGGGCACGTAGGCGGGCCTTCCGGACCCTCGACCGCCACGCCACAACCGATAATTTAATCGCATTTAGGAAGGCGAGAGTTTTGGCCCGGCGCACCATCCGGGAGGCAAAGCGCGTCTCCTGGCAAGATTACGTGGGACGCCTAAATCGTTTCACTCCTATGTCGCAAGTATGGTCGCAGATTAAGCGTATCTCTGGCCAGTTTTCCGCGGTTCCTCTACCGGTTCCTGAGGTTGGTTGGCAGGACATTTTACACCCTGCTGACGTCGCCAACGAGATCGGTCGTGCGCTTGCGGAACCGTGTGGAGACGGTAACGTTGATCCCCAGTTCCTGCGTCATAAGGCGCGTTGTGAGGCCAGTCCAGTGGACTTTTCCACCTCTGCGTACCTTGCCTACAACGAACCATTTACAGTGGTGGAACTGAGGGCTGCTGTTAGCAGGCTTCGGAGCATATCAGAGGATCCTGACGAGATACATAACGACATGATTCGACATCTACCCATCTGCGTACTGGACGTTCTTTTGGCCATTTTTAATCGTCTTTGGGAACGAGGCGAGTTTCCAAACCTTTGGCCAGAAGCTGTTGTACCCCTTTTAAAGCCAGGTAAAAGCGGCAAAGATCCGCTTCACTACAGACCCATCTCTCTTACATCTTCAGTGTGCAAGCTGATGGAGAGACTCGTCAATGGCCATCTTTCATGGTTTTTAGAGAAACATGCCATTTTGACTGATTTACCAGTGTGGTTCTAGGAAACACCGTGGCACGCTGGACCATCTTCTTACCCTGGACATTGTTGTCCGTGCTGCTTTTAAACAGCGTCGCCATGTGGGAGCTGTCTTCTTTGATATAGAGGGCGCTTACAATACCACATGGCGACATGGTATACTTATGAAGGCTTTTAAGCACGGTATTCGTGGTGACATGGGCTATTTTTTTACAGAACTTCTTAGCGGAACGTTCTTTCCGCGTCCGTGTTGGTTATCATTTTTCTGATTTTTTTTACAACGGAACGGTGTGCCCCAGGGAGGTGTTTTAAGTGTCGCGCTTTTTACGCTCATGATCAGTGACGTCGGAAATGTATTGCCTCAGCCTATTGGTCGCTCGTTGTTCATTGACGATCTTGCAATCTGGTGCAGCTCTTCTCTGACCTCAGCGATGGAACGTCAGCTGCAGCTAGCTGTAGCACGTCTAGAGAGGTGGGCCACGCTGAATGGTTTTCGTTTCTCGACGTTGAAAACGGCGGGTGTTCACTTTTGTCGCCGTCGTGGTCACTGCCAGGATGTAGCGATCCGACTGTATGGCGAAGCGATCCCATTTGAGCCCGTGGTTCGTTTCCTAGGCGTGCAATTGGATCGCCGCCGTACTTACAAAGACCATATAAAGGCGTTGCGAGCCAAGTGTTTTAAAACCCTGAATGTCCTGAAGTGCATTGCACGCACGTCATACGGTGCGGACAGGAAAGCGCTCTTGCTGTTCTATCGATCTCTTACCAGATCCAAGCTTGACTATGCTTCTTCTGCGTATGACGGCGCTTGTGAGTCAGTAAAGCGCCCTTTGAACACGATACATTATACTGCCTTACGTATCGCAGCAGGTGCATTCAGGACCTCTCCGACAGCAAGTCTCCTTGTTGAGGCCCACGAGCCCCCTTTATCCACTAGGAGAAATATACTGGGCATGAGATACGTCTGTAAGTTGGCACAGTTCCCCGATCACCCAACATACAAGTGGGTCTTCTCTCGCCGCACAATACGCATGTTTCTGGCCGGGAGAGTACATCGGATCGCACCTTTCTGCGTGAGGACGTTCATACTTTTACAAGAATGTGGTATTCCCACACGGCATGTGATCCGTTGGGAAATTCCTGAGACCCCTCCTTGGAAGCTCTACCCACCAGCGGTGGATGTCTCACTTTTCCATTTCGCGGAGGGGCGGATGTCCCCGGATGAGTTTCTGCTGAGGTCTTTGGAGCTGATGGCGTCGTACCCGGATCACAAGAAGACCTACACGGACGGTTCGAAAGTGGATGCCAGTGTTGGATGTGCTTTTGTACATGGTCCTGTCGCACGGTCTTTTGCTTTGCATACTCACGCATCGGTCTTAACATCCAAACTAATAGCCATTCTCAAAGCACCCCATTTCATAGAAGTTGACAGTGGCGATCAACACCTAGTTTTATCGGACTCTCTTAGTAGCCTTATGGTTCTGCGGGATTTGGATTCATCACATCCCATCGTTCAGAACATTTTTTCTCTTCTTACTACGCTGTCCCAATTCGGGAAGCAGGTGGTGTTCTGCTGGATACCGAGCCACGTTGCCATATCGGGCAATGAAGTAGTTGGTGTCGCAGCAAGGCGTGCCACGCATGCAACTAGCATCCCTACTGTGGCAGTCCCAGTTGACGACCTATGTGCAGTAGTATCTGCATTCATGTTGAAGCAGTGGCAAGCGGACTGGGATGCGCGTCCTGCCAGTAAACTAAAAGAGAGAAAGCCCCGGCTGGGACCATGGGCGTCCAGTTGTCGTAAGGTGGGGCGGGATGAAGTGACGTTATGCCGCCTGAGAATAGGAGACACATACGCAACTCACCGATACCTGTTATGTGAGGAAGACCAACTGCGATGTCCTTGCTGCGGGGATCATTATACCGTACAACATGTCTTAATAGATCGTGCCCACCTCGCATCGGAACGCATGCGCCATTTTGGATCGGGGTCCGTGCGCCAAACGCTCTACGCTATGCCGTATTGGAGCCGTATGGGAGCCGACTCGAGTTTAGTAAATGACGGCCACGTTTTTAGTTATCTTGAAGACACTACAATTCCATGCAATATATCGGACGTAGTCTTACCTCCTCGCTTTTTTCACGCATCTGTTAAATAAAAAGTAGATTATGGGCGCCATATGACCAACGTAGTCGGTGCGCCCCAAAGCCCAAATCATCATCATCACTGCAGTTGCTGGCGGCATGCCAGAAGCAACCGGTGCTCGAAGTCAGTGAACTCAGGCACTGGCAGTGGACAGAAAATTGGGGCTCTTGGACTATTACTTCGGGTTGTTGGGGTCATTGGGATAGCGTTACTTATAAGTGCTTAATTAATTACTACTTATATATATATATATATATATATATATATATATATATATATATATATATATATATATACACCTTACTGCTTAATTAGTAGGGGTAAATGTCGTTCACTACACCATTAGGGTGTAGTGAGCGACGTGGTATCTACCATCACGACGCGAAAATGGGCAATTCCATTGGCAAACGCGTTGGTTGCCATGTGCAGGCAACCACGCGCAATCGTTTCGGAACTGGGGATCGCCATGTTTTGAGACGCGTTCAAGGACTGATGTCAGATGTTGGCAGCCAGAGCAGATAGAGGCGGGAGATCAGCTGTATGCTGTGAGGGAGCGCACCTACGAGTCATGAAGCGAACCCAGCTCTTTCCGACCGATAAATACGGCAGCAATAGAACAGAGAAGGAATCGGCTTATGCCACATATTCCGGAACCGGCCTCGAATACAACACGCTGTTGCCGACATCGAGGCAGAACGGGGCAGTATTGGTCCATACAGCCCAGTGTATTTTGCCAGCATATACACCGAAAAAAATAGTGTTTCCCCGATACGTTAATGACGGTAATCAGAGACGTGAGCTGCTCTAAATTAATGTATCCAGTGGAGTTATATTCCCAGACATTGGTAGGCCCAAACACTGGAATATTACAGCGATGCCATTTAAAAATCTGTTCGAGGACATTAAACACTTATTCTTCGTCGGCTGAGGTCATGGAAGCAGGATATTCCAATGCATCCAAGTCGCATCCGTATAGACTCCCGGATTTGATGGTCTCCGTTCGCGCATTCGAGCGTTGTTTAGGTGTCGTTTAGGTGTCGTTTAGGTGTCGTTTAGGTGTCGTTTTTGCACGCTTACAGCAATCACGCCTGTCATCGTCTCACTCTTCCTTCCCATGGGCGTGTTACTATTTGTACAACTCCATTGATCACCCTGCACACGTTCCTGAAGCACGCTCACAGCCAGTTGCTGCATAATAACCTTAATCACTTCTCGTGCCGCTGCATGCTCTCACTGGAATGAAGTGAAAAGAGAGGGAATACGATTGTTGGTACGTTATGTGTTTCTGCATTAAATAACTTGAGAAACGGACCAGTTTGCAATGCGACAGAATGATATCGGCCGTCCGAAAATTCAAAATATTTCCGCCCCTGTCCGTCCAGTTTCCAGCTTGAACTTAATTTTTGGAATTGAAAAGGTGGAATCGATCGACACCCGTAGTCGACACACCATCAGTGTATGGGTGTGGTCGGCACGCCATCAGTGTATGGGTCGGGCCGGCACATCATCAGTGTACGGATGGAGTCGGCACACCATCATTGTATGGGTGGGGTCGGCACACCATCAGTGTATGGGTGGGGTCGGCACGTCATCAGCGTACGGACAGGGTCGATACGCCATCAGTGCACGGACAGAGTCAGCACACCATCATTGTACGGGTGGGGTCGGCACACCATCAGTGTACGCGTGGGGTCGGCGCGCCATCAGTGTACGGGTGGGGCCGGCACACCATCAGTGTACGGGTGGGGTCGGCACGCCATCAGTGTACGGACGAGGTCGGCACACCATCAGTGTAGGGATGGCGTCGGCACGCCATCGGTGTACGAACAGAGCCGGCACGCCACCGCTGACCGCCGCCTTCCTGTTCCGTGCCGGCAGAGATCTAGGCGAGTACATCCGCGTTTGCGTCGCCGACGCCTTCCGGCATGAGGAGCGCAGCTCGGTCGATGAGAAGGCCTGCAGGCGGCAGCTGGAGAGCCTATCGAGGATCGCCAACAACCACCACCTCCACAGCGCCCGGCGGAGCGGCACAGGTAACGACGCCGTGGCGAGGTCGAGCTGAGACCGGCAACCGTGCTGGATCCGCAGCGGCACCGCGGCAGGCAGCCAGTTAATGACGGGCGAGATGCCTGGCCGCTTGCCCTCCCGAGTTTTATCTGATGTGTGACGATTGCACCAAATTTCGTTTTCCCTTGTAGATGGGGTGAGGGTGTAGCATTTCGGCAATTAGTGTGGTCATACCAGATTGCGCAATTTTCATCCTTTGAAAATTATGATCCTGATCAGATTGCGTTCAGTTGTCTCAAAATGTTGCAACAATTTTGTTTTCTTCAAAATTGTGCTACCTTTTTCCTGAAGGATATTCACATGGGGCTCTGGCCATTAGTATGTGAAGACCAAGAACACATCAGAAGCGTCGTGTCTGCCCTGGGGCGCTCAATGCAAAATCGGTTTCGGTTGAACCAGCATTCACTTGGATTACAGCCTCGCTCGTAGTTCTTTGTGCGTATGAGGCATACGCGAAGCTCGTACGCAGTGGCGTGAGATTGACGGTGCCTGTGTCGAAGAAAGTTTTCTGTAAGGCGCGAGTTTGCGGGACAATTTCCGTGAAATTGATGCGCCCATGGTTCGATACATATGCGGCGGATCGCAGCCATCAAGGCTATCGAATTACCGGCGGCTGCACTCGACACACTCGTGCGCTGGCGTCATTTGTTAGACCGCTGTCCAATCAGGTTTTCTAGCGGGCAGGGAGCGTTGCGACGGACACGTCATGAGCCTCGTGGCTGATGTCCTGCGCGTGTCGTCACCAGTCGCAGCTGCTGGACGCAAGGTTTCTTTGTCAGCCTCCGGCTAACGTAGTGGCATGCAGATCAGTGCGAACTGGGGCTGCTGGCACGAACACCAAGCAGCGGCTTTTCGCGAGAGACGACCTTGTTTTCAACTGTTAGTTATGAACGCCTGCAACGGTCAAAGATGTGCTTGGATTCCAAAAATTAATCCGAAATCTTTAAGGATGTCGGTTAAGTTTAGCATGCGTTCGGGCGGGAGTCAAATTGACGCCCCGAAGGTTTTTCCAGAATGATTTCCAAAGGGCGCGGCGCAACCGCGCCAAATTTTGCATAGCTGTAGACAATTAAATAGCGGATCGTTTAGCATCAAAAATTTAGATGTACCTTGTAAGATCGCTGGCCTATGGCAGGTCCAAGTCAGGCCATGGTTTCAGAGAAGTCAATTTCTAGGGAATCGTTTAATCTGATGCAACACCGGCGTCTTAGACGAAGCTATACATCTCTGAAATGCTTTCTTAGTCAACACAAAAATTGAATGAGCAAATTACGTTGACCTAAGGTCAGGTACAAAGGTCAGACGAAGGTCAAAACCAACCTGCTTTATTACTCTATGGCTCGCTGTATGGACTGGTTTCTGGTGCTCATTTCGAATTTATTGATTGCAGGAACCGCATTATACATCTTCCATGGACTTCTTAGAGGTCAGAATAGGCCATTGACCTGAAATGACCCAGGTCAGCATTTTGTATTACCATACTGCCTGGCATAATCTTTTTCGCTTATTCAAGTGCAAAACCCAGCGGAGTCTTGTATAATTTTGGTCACCATGACCTTCAAAGGATCAAACAAGGTCACTGACCTTAACTGAGCATGTGACCTTTTGCTTAGAAACAGCTATCTAGGTTATGGGGGTACTTTGGAGGTCAACCTGGTATGTGACCGTGTTTGACCTTATTTGACGCGAAGGTCATTACTTAGGAACCCAAAACTTTGACCGAGGTGAGTTCACGTACAGGTCAGCACACCCTGTAAATTTGGTGTCTCTACCTTTCTTAGCTTCCGAGATCTCAGGTGTGTCAAATTGACCCCCCACCCGAGCGAAGGGTATCTAGCCGGCCACCCGGGCGCGTGTTAAGGGCGTGCCCTGAATATCACGGGATCGCTCGACAAACTAAAAGAGGTGATCGGCACTTAAGGACGTTGGCACCAAAAATAAGAACTGAGCGGAGATCTCAGTAATTTTTGACATCATTACCAAAAACAAAAAAATATCCTGAATCCCAAAAGACCCATGGGAAGATGCTTTCAAGATCTTGGATCCCAGAAGTTCGTGCGAAAAATTGTGAAAGTGACTCGCATACGATATTGCTCAAAGCACAGAAGAATCAAAGCACAGAAGAATGGGTTCAGCATTTAAAGAAAATACGAGTGTTGGAAGATTGTCAAGACTTCAATTGCTGGTGAGCCACTGGCCTGACTTGGGTTTTTCAAACCTGTACATATCACGCAGCATTCAGAAAATATATTTCGAAAGCGCAAAACTTTGTGGAGTTCGTTCTCAAACGATGAGAACCTCCACGAACGAGGATGTAGCTGCTAGGGAGATCTCTTAATGACGAGGTTTTGGTGCCCAATCGGCATGCATGCCTTTTTTAACTTGCACGTGTGGTGATTGAAATATGTGAATGTCACGTATTTCGTGGTACCTGCTGCTCATCACAGAACATATGAAGGTAGCATGAAGTACAATAATCCCAAATAAGCCAGCATGTCGTAACCAAATTCATGACTTGGCACAACAGTCCTGTCTCCGTTACCCCATGTTTTTCACTAACGCGTAGAAACGGCAAGAACGTGACGGCAAGAGTAGAGCATTCCGAAAAACTCACGGCGCCTCTGCGTTTCCGGCTCCTTACCGCACACGTGCGGGTCGTGTTGGCCTGAGCAGTGTGGAGGGAGCACTAGACACCAGTCTCGGACGGTTCCGGCACTCCAGTCCGGCAGCTCTGTGGCGCGTGCTGGTGGGACCGTGGCCACCACCCTGGCCAACCGCTGGGCGAGCACCAGACGCCAGTCTCGGACAGTTCCAGCGCTCCAGTCCGTCAGCTCTGTGGCGCGTGCTGGTGGGACCGTGGCCACCACCCTGGCCAACCGCTGGACGAGCACCAGACGCCAGCCTCGGACGATTCCAGCGCTCCAGTCCGTCAGCTCTGTGGCGCGTGCTGGTGGGACCGTGGCCACCACCCTGGCCAACCGCTGGACGAGCACCAGACGCAGCAGTCTCGGACGGCCGCAGCGCTCCAGTCCGGCAGCTCTGTGACGTGTACCGGTGGGGCCGCGGCCATCACCTTGTCCAGCCACTGACCGAGCAGCAGGCTGGCCAGCCGAGGTCGGAGCGCCAGCGTGAGTGCAGAAACGACCCGTCAGCCCACATCCTACTTCTAGAATGCGATGAGATGGCCGAGTTCCGCCTCCTTCCCCTCAAACGCTCTGCCCCACGCGAGGCGCGCCTGATGGGGAAGCCTGGGTGCAAAGGTGGGGTCCAGGCTGGCGCCGTAGCATTTACCAGTACGCTGAGGGACTCGAGGCTCGTCACATATGAAGAAGCCAGGCATCAGCGAGGGCCTGGAGATGACTGACATCGACGGGAGTTAGGTCAAGAAGGGCCGGGATATGCGAGAAGATGGCGAGGCTGGCACAGCCAAACGGCGTCGTCAACAGACCACAGGTTACATTGTAAATTAGCTTGTTAGAGACAAACCTGCAACGCGTTTCATTGCTTTACTGCGCAGAAGTTACCTCAAATAGTCAATGCGTTTTATTTATAGGGTGTAATTTGCACTGACACTCAAAGCAGCAGCGGTGCTTCAGCTTGGTGACTTGGCACTGCTGCCCGGGCTCTGACCCCGGAAACAATGGGACACTCGATGCTTCGTCTTCAAACTGCTCTATCTGTAAAGGTGACTGGGCATTCTCAAACCTAAGTATGCTCTTGCCAAATAGTAGCAGTCAGGGTTTTAAAGTTCATGACCTGTGGTGTTTTCATCGTAAAATAGCTTTCTCGCGTTTCAGAAGACTTGGTCAGCAATACTTTGCCGCGGCTCATGCTCATCTAACAGTTTCCATTTGGACGGATTCCCTGACTGTCACTCTCGTGGGAGGTCTCACTCGCTTCTCGCTGGGTTCGGCAACAAAGCAATGACATGAAAACCGCTCACTCAAATCCAAATGTGTGAAACTGAAACCACTTGGACATACTTTCCAGTTCACAAAAACGTGCCCACTCCAAGCAGCGTCTCCTTCATTGGACGACGCGTCTCCCCGTCTCCCGATCGCCAGGTGCATCTCCCTCATCGGACGTCCAAAGTCGCAAAAGGACGCCCCCTTGCGATGATTTCACACGGACCACTAAAGCACTGCCTGCGCGCACTAGAAACATGGCGAAATCCCTACTGCAGATGTCACTCGCTCTGCCCTCGTGGTTGGTAAGCCGCTTTTGGTAATCCTCCCTCCCCACGGAACTAAAGCAAAGTTGACGGACTTATTCAGTGCGTTGGGTTCTTACGATGCGGATTCTTCGAAGATGTGTGTTTGTCACATTGATCGGTCGCGTTCCTGGTGTCCTCAATCCCGACGCCAGATCCAGACATTAGGGATTGAATGCAGGCCCTGAACCTCAGCAGTGGGTGTAATACCCCAGACGAACGGCATTAAGCCTCGACCTTCGACCACTGCAGCATTGGCAGCAGTGTATTATGATGACACGTCCTTCCGGCAACTGTGTGAGAATTAACTCACTAAAAATGTCTATCAGCATCCACATTTGGCGCAAAATGACCTCCGGCGTCGACTCGCCCTTAAATTGCAATCCGTGTTTGACCCTTATGTATACGGATCGCTGGCTATCAAAAGGCATTACATATACCGATTTCAGCTCGATAAGTCTACTCCACTACTGCAAGCGCATATGTCAAGTGCCTTTACACCCCTGGTATTCCCCCGATGGACAATGAGCCTTTACGGTAATGGAAACATGCCTGTCTGCGATGTGCGTTATGTGAAACACGCTCTAAGATGAAGTATGAAAGATGCTCCAAGCAATCCAGACGTTTTTATATTCACGCTTACTTGTCAAGCTCCTTAGAAGTTGTGAATCATTAGGGAGGATTTCTTGGTCTCACATCTTTCAAAATTGTTGCCGCTTTCAATCGGTTGTTTAAAAATGCCTGCTTTGAGCGGCT